TAAGTGATGGTCAATCCCACTATTCGTTGGTAAAAGAGTAGCCCAAGAGTTGGCGGTGGGTGGTGATGACTAGCTGCCTTCCCTCTAGTCTTACACTGCTAAATTAGGGACGGTTAGCGCAGATAGCCCTCGTGTAGCTTTGCGCGAAAAAACAAAAAAACAAACGTTACTTGAAAAAAAAAAGGTTTTTTGTATTTGTAGTTATTTCCCTGTCTTATTTTCTATACATTTATTCTGGACCACTTGGATCTTTTAAAACCACAATGTCATATTTATCATAGAATCTAGCAATGAACAACACATTGTAAACACTGCACTTAGGATCTTATAATGATCAACATCCTAAACCCCCATACTGTCGTCACTATCCTCGAAGTAACCTACAATTACCAATATTCTTTGGATATCACCACCATACTGTCGTATATTGAAAAAAACCTATAATTACCTATGTTCTTTGGATATAACCACCATATTGTCGCATATTGAAAAAACCTATAATTACCTATTTTCTTTGGATATAACCACCATATTGTCGTATATTGAAAAAACCTATAATTACCAATATTCTTTGGATATCACCACCATATTGTCGTATATTGAAGTAACCTATAGTTACCAATATTCTTTGGATATCATACCAGTTATTTCTCACTAACTCATATTTTCATAGTTATAATAGTTTTTTTTTCATAATATAACTGAACGCTTATATAAATTTACCGTTAATCTACTGGAGATCTAATGTAACTCCCTTATAATGATTAATTCTGGTTATATTGATTGAGTCCCTAATAATATTGATATAGATTAAGTTTCAGAATCGCGGGGCTAGCAACTCCGCCCCGTAAAAACCAACCTGGTAAAAAATGACTGCAACAACAACTTCCGTCGGCGAGGTGTTGTTGGGGCCCTATGCTCCAGTGGGAGTCTACAGGGATTATTATTTATTTAAGTTTCAGAATATTTAAATCATACACTAATTGCTAATTATTATTTTCTTCATTGCATAGCGAACTATTTTCGTAACATGTTTTATATATATTCACATGCACAGCCTATTTCCCCATGCGTATCTCAAAATGATTGTGCTCGCTTATCAACATACAGTTTGTTTTTATAATTTTATATCGAGATATCTTTTTTTCCTTTTCTTTATTTTTTCTTAGCCCTCCTTCTGCCGGAAGTAACAAGAATCATTCAGAGTTTGTTTAATTCCTATCCTATCGCCCCCCCCCCCCGTGCCACAGCGGTATTTCTGCGGACTTACAACGGTAGAATCCGGGTTTCGATACCAGTGGTGGGCAGAGCACAGATAGCCCATTGTGTGTGTAGCTTTTAGCTTAACTACAAAGAAACAAATCCTATTCTATTACAATGACAGGGATTGTTTGGATTTTGTTTAACACTTTCTCTCAGTGGGTCTATTTTACGTAAGTTAAATAAAAGTGGAATAATTAACTAATTCTTGGATATTTCTTTAACACTCTCGGAAGACTATTCCCGACGTGCGAATTAGGGCATATGTCAAGAATATGACGTTAAAAACTCTACATTGACGTTTAAATCGTAATTCTTACATTTTGGCGAAATATTAATTTGTAAACGTTATGGGCAAACATGGAACTGGCGCTAAGAATGGAAGAGTCTGAAGATGACATGACAGCAGCAGAAACGGCACCGAGTCCAAAAAACGAGACTGCTGGAGGAGTAAGATACTGTAACACCAGAGGGAGAACCAGAGAACTCTGATCTTTCGTCAGAGGCAAACCATAAGTTGTCTCGTTCCAAGCTGGAAAAAAAATGTTTCAGTATAAATTAGACAGAGAATTATTTTGTAATAACTTTCAGAAATTTATAAAACTAAACTAGTAAACTACTAAATTTTTAAATGTTTGAGCCTCAAAAGTTGTCATTTATTGGGATGATTTCAGAAACACAATTCTCTATTTAAAAAATTTATAGATTTTCAATATGTTTAACAGATTGACCCAATTTAACTAATGAAAATATTTTAAAGTAATGTTTCATGACTAAACATAATTAGTTAGTCAAAATGCTTAGCTTACATTGTAATTTAAAGGTTTATCATTTTCACGTCATGACTTGCTTTATATTCTAACTAGCTGAATGCTCTGTCATATGATGGTAAATGCTTATTTATTTTGCTTCGGAAAATTTGTTGTACATAATTATTTTATTAACAGATTTTGTAAAAATGAAATTAAGTTATAATAAATATACATACAAAAGATTGTTTATTCTTTTTCTAGTATTTCACGAAAAAACATTTTCTGTGAGTATTTTGTCATCACCCGTGCAATGTGTGTATTTTATACTTGTATTACTTGTATAATATTATGTATAATTAAATGCGTAACATTAATTTAAGAAAAACACGAGCATTGGCTTGAAGACTTCTATATCATATGAAAATAATGACAAATTGAAAAGTTGACTTCAGATGCAAATTAAACTTATTGATATTTGTCATATTGTTGCGTCAGCGAGGTCACGTGACTAGTATCACGCCACCTTCTTCTAGAAATATCCTGTTCCTTTGTGAATTGTCGGGAGACTACTAGATTGGGGGGTAGTCTGGTATATATAAGACGGTCACAACGTGACGGAACAATGTGTGAAATTGAACTGAGTATTGTCGAGCACGAGCGCGTTAGACG